TGCTCCACTAAAGCTGCTAAGATGGTGTTTTTCTTTAAAACTGGCCTCTTAGTGAAGGTCTCTCTGCATTGAGGGCAACTGTGGATTCCTTTCTGATGCTTTTCATCCCAGTGTGCATTAATGCAGTTCATGCAGTAGCTGTGTCCACAGGGAATAGTCACTGGATCCTTCAGTAGATCCAAACAGATTGAACAGGAGAAGGTTTCTCCATCCAAGATAGCTTCTTTACGTTCCATTTCAAGAATGCTGTTTGTTCTTTTCTTCTTTTATAAAAAAAAAACGGGATTGGATCCATATATAGCACAGAAAAAGGAAACTAACGATTTCGAAAACCCGCTACAAAGGCTCAGCCATGATGGATTTATGAGTCTGCGCACTGCAGAGCCAATAAGAAACGCTCTCCGAATCACGTGACCACGCACCAAGGCGCTACTTGCTGGCAAATATGAAACTCAGGCCAATATTCCGTTAAACATTAACTAGAAAATGCAATGGAACATTTTATGATTCTCTCCCTATCCCATAGCTACCTATTTAAAGTAACATGCAAATTACTTTTAAGTAGGTCCGACAAGTCGATCAAGAATGGGAAACAGCTATTGGTCAACTGCTAGTTTTTCTTCTTTTTTCAAAATGGCGAATCGCAAACAACTTCTGGGGCGCATACTGCCACCTAGCGTACAAGAGCCACCATTATTTTCTGTTTTAGTTTAGTGTAAGAATGATCTTTAGAAATTTGTGGAATATTAGGATTCATAATACTAATATACAGCTATGTTCCTAAATTATTTTAGACTCCATTATTTCCCTCTCCTATTATATTTTCTCATTAATACATATTTAACTCAATCCATCACAAAAAGATCAATTTGTCTTTTTCTCCACAACTCACATTTTTTTTAAATCTTTAACCATCTTTTATAACACAAATTTGGTGTAACCTGCCCTCTATCATATCATTATTGCATCTTCTCTTCTATTCCTTTCTCCAGAATTTTCTTTTAACAAAATTATCTACCAGTTTCCAGTCATTAGTGAAAAAGTTTTGGACGCATACAACCACTCTCGCTTCCATAAAATGCTGTCATGAATGCTATAAATTAGAAAATAATCCTAAAGGAGAACATCATGATAATTTAATCAAAATTAAAATTATTCCAATCAGAGAAACGTTAAAACAATTAAATGTGGTTCTTATGAGCAAACAAAAAAATCTGTACTTGAGTTATTACTTGGAGTAATAACATGTTAATGAAATGCTACTCTTGTGTAAGATTTCCTCTACCCACCTCTGGTTTTTAAAGATGGCTATTGTTGTAATTTTGACAGAAATGCTTGTAATAGACTAAAGCATGTATTTTGGGGATTAGAGAAAAGCTCATATTTTATTTTTTCCTGATAATTGTACTGCAAACATTACACCAAGGGAAGGCATAATGTTTTTAAAAATCAAAATGTGGTTACCCTATGATAGCTGGATGTACTGTCCCACTAAAATAGACCATTTATTTGACACCCAGCGCAATAACTATATATATATATATATATAGATATAAATATCAGTCTATATCTATGTAAGCACCCTGTGCAATAACATTGTATAATAATCCTACTAAAAAAAAAAAAGATGTCATATGTGGACGCACTGTATACACTGTATATATCCCATGCACCTTTTTCTTCCTTTGGCACCTTCTTCTCCTTTGACTATTTGAACTGATGCAACAATTCAATTTCTCCACTGTGAGATCAATAAAACGAATCTATCAAACAATCAATCAAAAAAAATAAATAAATAAAAACTCTGACTGACTCTAATTGCTATAGTAAAATAATTCTGATTGTAGAGAAAAGTTAAAGACTGATTGTCAGAGGAACAGTGCTTGTTGGACCAATATAGAAACCTTAAAGGTAGAGTGGAGGATTTTTGTGAACGTTCGAATAGACCCGCCCTCTGCTCAA